AGAGGTGATGCCATACCAGAGATAAGAATAATATGGTCTATAAGCTGCACATGCTCCATCCTGCTGCCCAACTATTTCTGTAGACCATAAACCAATCTCAGTATATCCCTAAAAATATTTTCAATAATACAACGGAATTATCTCCAGAATCAGATATTTTTTTAATGCAAGGTGCTGCTCATCCTATATCTTTCTGAAGTATACTTGTAGTTTAACTTTTGAAAAATAACACCATCCAGGAGAGTCTAAGGCTCATAATGACTCATGGGCACAGAACATTGGCCCCAAATTCCCAGAACTTGTCCTACTGTTTCAAAATCTCAATTTGTGAAAGCTTATACCAGAATTATACCAGGACCCCCCAGTGGCACAGTGGGTTAAACTGCTGAGCTGCTGAACTTGCTTACCGAAAGGTTGCAGGTTCGAATCTAGGAAGCGGCGTGAGCTCCTGCTGTTAGGTCCAGCTTCTATTAACTTAGCAGTTTGAAAACATGCAAATGTGAGTAGATCAATAGGTACCGCTCCAGTGGGAAGGTAACAGCGCTCCATGCAGTCATACTGGCCACATGACCTTAGAGGTGCCTATGGACAACACTGGGTCTTCGGCTTAGAAATGGAGATGAGCACCAACGGACACAACTGAACTTAATGTCAGAGGAAAACCATTTTACCAGAATGGGGAACATGTAGTATGTAGAAGGCCCCAATTTTGTAGCTTTCAAAGCCTTCCCCCAAACACTTAAAATACAAGTAAAATGTACCAAATTGTAAGTGTCAATATTCCATATTCACAGGGGAGGAATTATCAGTTTTTATCCCATGGCTTTTACAATCTGCCTCAGATTCCAGGAAACTCATGCGTCATGATGAAATGAAGTATTTCTTTTCTCCCTCATCATAGCTCTTCTAAACGTGACATTTCTTTTTGCTGCCATTTGCATTTACAGTCTATTGAATCTGGACTTTTAGGGTAGTGCCAAATGAAGACATTCTGCTGATGGCATGGTAAGTTCCAACATGAGAGGGAGTGTAGATTGCTAGTATAAGTGCTATCCACAAAATAAGGTACTAGTTGGCTGTACTTTATTCTGTGGATAGCACTTATGCTATCAATCCTATACTGAAACAGATTATTAGACTGCACATGGAAGATAGTGGCTTCATTCCTGTTTCTGCTCAAACATACATTTTCATTTACTGACCATACTTTTTAGGTATTGAACTTTAAAAATAGAGAAATATTAAGCAAGTTCAAAGCAGCTGTGAAACTTAAGATATGTATGTTCTTAAGCATCCCACATTAAACAAAAATGCAAGGTGGCTCTGAATAGAAAAAAAACCAGACAATTCTGGTATCAGTTCTACTTCATCACTATGGCAATAGGGGAGACCGCCTTTTCATAAGATCTCTCTGGAGGCCAATTCCCAATCTATGGCCACAATCCAACTTTATAAAACTTTCCCCATATCAGCACATTTCAGCAATATCTCTCAAATGAAAAATAATTTACCCTGGGAGGTATTCACATGAATTTTATCTTCCATAGTTCAACTCAAAGATTGCTATATTAACTACTTCTCCAATAAACATTGCAGTAAACTTAAAAGCATTCTCTCATTATGGATTTTACTATGAACATTCCAGGAAGACGAGCATGAATAGTCAGAACACCTGGGGAAAGAAGGCTTCAGTTCATGTATACATAATACAGTGCAAATTCTGGTTTTTTTCACTTATTATAGTGAACTGATTCTATATTTACTAAATCAGTTGATTTGGCTTTCATTTAATTCAATAATATATTTTGCAAGCTATGAACATATTTCAATACATTTCGGTCAGCAAATTCAGCAGCTCAGCTGTTTAACCTGCTGAGCCACCAGGGGCCCTTGTGCCACCTAGCCATCTAAGTTTATAATATTATTTAACTGAGGCAAAAAGTAAGCTGGCAAAATAGATTTTTCGAGTATATCTACAGAAAAACAGTTTTAATTTTGCAAGGAGTTTCTGTCAGTTGCTCATTTATTGGCTCATTCATCATTTTGTCTTGTGGCAAAAATCACCTCACAAATATACATAGTTATTATTATTATTATTATTATTATTATTATTATTATTATTATATTTATATACCGCCCTATCTCCCCAAAGGGACTCAGAATGGTTTACAGACAAAAGTAACAAAGTGGCAAACATCATTGCTAAAACAAACAAACAGCAAACAATAACACAACTGGACCAGTGGCTTGGTAGAGGGCCATGACAGGGCCCTCCTGGGCCCGTTGGTGACTTGGCAGCCTCGAGGAGAGTGATAGCAGGGTCCTCTTGGGCCTTTTGGTGCCATGGTGGTCTAAATATAACACGCCTAAATATGCTAGCACATACATAACACCTAAATATAATAGCAGTTTGTGCTTCACCCATTTAATCTGGAGGGAGGGAGGGGGAAAATGAAAATCTAAACTTTATCAGAAAGTATGTTTGGCTCTCATTCTGTGGTGCTCCAAGTTGAAGACTAAAGGATATCAAGCCCCTTATGTAACACAAACATTTTAGCATAACAATGGCACTTTGTTAAAATTCTGCCATTACCAGACTGGCAACATCCCTTCTTATTTCCATACTGCCCCAGGCTGGCCATCCTAGACAGCCTTACAGATTTTCAGCAGGACTAGATGGCAGCCAAATAACCAAGTTTGACCACAATGCTGGCTATGCAAATTGCCTGTAAGTCAGTTTTTAGTTTATGCATATGAATGAATAATTATTCTGAACAGCAGCATTTCTAGTAAGGAATTCCTATTATAGTACTATTATTATCATAATCTTTCTGCCTTTGAAATCAAGCAAAGTGGACAAATATTTAGAAAAAATGGAACACTTGGAGACAGTCTAAGTTATTCTTATTAGCCAATGAATTTTTAAAATACTTTAATCGTACACTTGAGTGAAATTCAGAGGCTCTTCATGCCACGGAGTGTTTCGGCATGCTTCCCAAAAGCACACTAAACAAAGAACACATGACAAACTGTTGTCTCCCAACTGATTAAAGTATTTCTTGCTGGCACAAGAAAGCTCTTAGTTAACTCCAATGGCTTGGGGCCAAGAGAAGTATTCCACCCACCACTGAGTACAAAGTTCAAGCATGAATGCAAATATGCATTATAAACATGCAGCTTCTGAAATTCTAGATTCTCAATCCCTGGGTCCTGCTCTCTTTAGAATCCTCCTGGTCCAACATCTTTTGTCCTCACATGACTTTTTAAAACAGACATTTCTCTTGGCAAGGATTGTCAGCAACCACTCTACAACTAGCCCAAAACAGGTAATGAGAAGAAAAATAGATCCATACAGCTTTTAACAAAAACAAATGAAGCACCGCAGACAGAGCCTCCACCCAAATCAAGGCAGTGTAACCAATTATTTTTCTGGGGTCAACCCCAAAATCATGCTATCCAGAATTCCACCAAAGACAACAGTAAGTGCCAGGTGGGTAAGTGCCAAATGAGGCGTAGGAAAGATCAAGTTTCAGAGGACAATTACCGTACCAACTTGTCATTTCAATTTCATGCAGTTTGATCTTCCTGCTCAGAGTATCAGCAGTCCTAATGGACTGAATCAATGTATCAGCACTAAAGTACCCATAATCAGAGAAGTGATAACACACATCCATGATAGGTAGGACATTTAGATAATGTGAAACCACATTTTGCATGAGTTGCCTACATTTGAATGTTAAGACAAGCCAGGATTGTGGTAACAAACGACATGCTGGTGCACATTAACAAATAATCTGTATTTGGTTCACATTATTTTTTTTTCTGAAGCCAATCTCAACTATAGTTTGTTTTTGTTTATGGAACTGTTTTATCTTGTCAAGTTTCGAGAGAGACATTCAGATGTCACAATAACTGGTGGACAAAGGATACATGACTTGTTCAGTCCCTCCTGTTTGCAGAAAGTGTCAAGTAGAAGGGAATAAGATCATCTGGGGAGGCCCTGCTCTCGACCCCGCCTCTATCTCAAGTGAGGCTGGCGGGGACGAGGAGCAGGGCCTTCTCGGTGGTGGCCCCCACCTATGGAACTCACTCCCCGGGGAGATCAGATCAGCGACCTCCCTTCTGTCATTCAGAAAAAAGCTGAAGACCTGGATTTGGGACCAAGCTTTTGGACATTCTGGCAGCTAAAATAAGGACCCATTGATGAGCAGGAATTGTTGGAATGAATCGACATTTCGGAACTCTGAATCTCACTGTGCATGAAATTGTTTTTATTATATTATGTAGTGATGTGTTTTAATGTTGTTAAATGTTTATACTGTTTTATATATGCTGTATATTTTGACAGGCATCGAATTTGTGCCTTTGTTTGTAAGCCGCCCTGAGTCCCCCCTTGGGGGTGAGAAGGGCGGGGTATAAGTAACTGCAATAAATAAAAAATAAATGCTAGTATATTGTCTTTTCAATTTTATGCAGTTTGATCTTCCTGCTCAGAATATCAGCAGTCTTATTGGACTGAATCAATGTGTCAGTACTAAACTAGGATTGCCCAGAATACCAAACTTGTCTGAATACATAAGGCTTGAATTTGAGCTTGCTGGTAAACCTTAATCTGAGACCATTTAACCAGAAGCAAAGTAAAATCATACTTTAATGCTTGCTTATGAACAGCCATAGTTGGAGTGCACTCTCACACTGGAGTTCTTAAATTACTGCTGACTGGAGGTTCAAATCTCTCTTGGTGGCTTAATACCAGTTCATACAATGCTTCCAATGAGTTTGCGCCTTATATTGAAAGACAATTGTTCCAAGTGGTGTCTCATGTGCTCCACACATACATTTGACCAAGCACACTTAGGACTGTTCCATCATGTGAACCCAAAATCTCTTATTTATAACCGCAATGAATTTTTGTACCCTGGGAATCAAATAATGTGGAAATGCAAACCGAATTGCTGACTTTGCCAAGAGAGAAAATTGCTCCAAGAAGCATTACCTACCTGGTTGCTTTTTATGGACTTCTTGGCAACATTTTGCTCTGTTTCTGTGCCTTCCATTCCTCTCAGCACATCAATGAAGTCTCTTTTTGAAACTGACGAGATCAATTTAGCCCGCTTTCTCTCAGAACTCCCTGCTTCTTTCATCTTCTCATCAACATTTTTTTGATGCTTCCGGACTGCGTTGAATAACTGAACAACTCCCCTGAAGATCAAAGTGAGATATAGGTACACATGCATCACTACAGGAACAGTATTACTGGAGTCATTCTTCAGACACAACGCACTGCAGATACAAGGGTGGAAAGAATAATACTAAAGGTGTGACTACTGTAATTTTTTAAAGAAGTGCTAGAGTATTGTGGCTTAAGATGAATGTTTACTAACATGTTTAAGAGGAAAGCAATCTCAATGTGGCTTCCAAAAGTTTACATACATAAAGTTGTTTTTTTTTTCATGTCAGGAGCGGCTTGAGAAACTGCAAGTCGCTTCTGGTGTGAGAGAATTGGCCGTCTGCAAAGACATTGCCCAGGGGATGCCTTGATGTTTTGATGTTTTACTATCCTTGTGGGAGGTTTCTCTCATGTCCCCACATGGGGAGCTGGAGCTGACAGCAGGAGCTCAACCCGCTCTCCCTGGATTCGAACTGCTGACTTGTCAGCCAGCAATCCTACTGGCACAAGGGTTTAATTAAAATAAAAGTATGTTACCGTAGCTGAAAGCAGTCCTTCAATTGTCATTATTATATCAAACCTGATACAATTAAACTATGTTCTTTGTATCCGACTAAAGCCCAAGGAACATTGTGTATAGCCCTCAACCTCAAACAGAAAATAAAAGAATTCTGACTCACAATTTGTGACAGGTTAATAAATAAAAGAGTCCTTTAATGTAGTGTAAGTAATACATTCAGTTTTAAAAGACATTCCAGCGGGAATGTTGATACTGTGGTTTTATACTATGAGGCACCTAATTTAAAATCATCAAGACCTGAGTATCATGAACTTCAGTTTTGTCTTCTCACTGTTGGCCAGCTCTTCAGACCAGCACCACATATAAATAAATAAACAAAAGAAAACAGCCTGCTCTCACACTGCAGAATTTGAATGCTTATAGGATATGGCTTCAGTAAACAGCACCAACAGGGCATACACAAATACCACTGGATAATTGTGCAATTTTGTGTCTATGCTAGTAGCTTGCCAGGTGTGTTTGATATTTTTCTCAAAGACACACAGGGAGCATTTATTCTTACTGCATCAAAACACACAAAATCAGAGAAGGAAGGACTCCATAGACTCCAGTCTGTCAAACATTCCTTTTAATAAAGTGCTGTATACAAACATGTGGGTATGCAACTTGAAGCCGTATGACACTGACTCATTAATTTCATCCATTGTATTGTTCTTTTTATTCCATTAATTTTAACAGGATTACTATAAGGAATTCTAATATTTCAGTAAACACGCATGGACAAACACAACATATGTTGAACTAACAAGTTCCACCTTGGTAACTATTCCATCTGTGAAATTACACTCTATTGTAGCTGCTCCATGCTGGTGTGTCTATTATTTACATTATTATTTACAATATTTCTATACTGCTTTTCTCACCCCTAGGGGGACTCAAAGCGGTTTATACACCAGTTTCTCAAACTATGCTCCTCCAGATGTTTTAGACTTCAGCTCCATAATTCTTAACAGCTGCTAAACTGGCTGGCATTTCTGGGAGCTGAAGTCCAAAACACCTGGAGGAGCACAGTTTGAGAAACACTGTTCTACACAATCATAGACTTAAATATACCACCATATAGAAAAAAATAAATACCAACTGCTTTTATGAGCCACATTATCTATGGAGGTGGGGATTAAATCTCCCTTCATGTGAGGCTGGACTAGAACTCCCAACTGACCTGGGCAGCAAAGTCAAGGGGGAGGAATGTTTGGCACTGTATTGCAACATCTGGAGGGCCACACAATTCCCATTTTTGATTGATATGGCCCACTAAAACCGAAAATGTTGGCACAAGGTTGCAGCGCATAGCAGAAGACTCACTGCACCCACTTAAGGAAAGTTCAGAGGCAAGTTTATTAAGCACCCTCTCTGAGGTTGGATGTCAACAAAAGCCCACTGATAGGATCAAGAGAATATACTGGTTATATGCTGGACGACGGCCATGCAGTACTACACTAGGTTAATGCAAGACAGTAATCTGACCACAAGAACAGCCAGCTTTGGCGAGTGAACTATACAGAATTACAAAGAGAGGTGGAAATGATTGATCTGTATATTTTTTAAAACATTGAATTAACAAAATGATGAGCTAAGGCTCAGAACTCCTGCTGGGTGAACACTTAACACATTATATTCTTGTCCAGATTTTATGCTTTCATAAGACTTCTGAAATCTTTTGTTGAACTTGATACTGTATGAGACAGGACCAAGAATAAATCATTTGACTCCCACGAGTCACTTCTTAAGAGTTTGATTTGATTAGAAGCAGATTACTCGGGCATGCCTTTAGATCTGTTTTCAAAAGCACAAACACGCAGTCTTACCTCGTGGCAATTCTCTGAAGGTTTCTCTCCATTTCTCTGTCTTTGGCAACATCTGGCTTCACTCTGCACATCATTTCCCACTCCCGCTTTTTATCTAGCTGCATCATAAATATTGTTACGTGAAAGCATATTGGGCATTTTAAAAATGCAGCATATTTATATAGAATGCTTCTTAAGAGAGTAAAGTTGATAAATCATGCAGGATAGAATTAGGAAAGGATGGAAAGAATATACCTATGCTTTAAAATTATATTTCTGTAGTTTAAGCATAATGTCTGAAGGTCAAAATGGGCCCACCAGTGAATCTTTCCAATTGTATTAGTAACACAGTCCTTCAAACTAGTTTCTTAAACTTGGATACAAAAGTCTGCCAGGCACAGAAACAGTACTTCCTTTACTAGAGATTGAGCTGCCCACCTTGAAAAGAAACCCTTTTGAGCAAAGAACTCCCCATTTATTCAACAGCATGACACTTAGTTCAAGACAAGTTAATTAGTTCTGGACTCTCTTATGGGTTTAATAAAGGTATTTAATGCTTAATATATGGCAACTACACTTATAGGATATTGTCACCTGTATTCTGCATTGCTTATTTTAGTACTAGCCCTGTATTACCCTCCAAGGCAAAGCAATCAGGAATTAAAATACTTGGGCTCTATATCTTGACATGCTTTCATAATGTTTAGTCTCTCCTGATTGGATTATTCTTACACTGGAAGTATTTCCAAGTCTTGAAACTTGTAATCATCTCAAATAAACCACTGCCAGTTTATCCATACTTTTTCTTTGAATGTCATTTTTAAACAAGTGATAAGATCAGAATGCTAGATTACATATAGTATCCAAGGTAATTATACTCCTGGACCTATAAAGGGGGACCCTGTTTCATGTCCTAGGTATTACCAGTCACCTTGCTTTTGATACTGGCAAACATAAAATGTACTGAGTACTTAAGTTCTCAGGATGCTATGATTTTTCTTCCCAATGGGGTGATCTGTTGTGGTAAGTCATAGCAGGACCAATTGTGTGTGTGTTGAAGAAAAACTTTATGGTGTTAATTATTATTTGCAGCTGGGAATGTAGGTCAACCAGCAAGATTGTGCCACACCCAATGGTGTATATCTGTATGGGTTTTCTGTGTATGGGTGTAGGTGAAGGAGAGCTTTTTCTCTGAGGAGATCTATGGTCAAAGCTTTGCTCTGGGGAGCAACATGGAGAAGCTACTCTGAAGGAGGCTATGGTGGAATAGCTATTTACTCAAGATTTATTTTTGCTCTCTCATTTGATTTAAGATGAAGATGACTTTTTGTGTTACTTACAATGACTATGTAAGTTTCTTGCACTGATTGATTTTTATATGCAACATTATAAGTTTATGTTTCAACTCTGCTGAGTAAAGATTTTTCTGATCATTTTTACTCTGGTCTGTGAGTCTTTTTGCATTTGGACTTTGGGTGCTGGGTAAAATCCGCTGCTGTGCAACATGATCTAGGATTTATAATAGGTTGTTTATACAATACCACTCCCTTATCCATGTATTTGATATCAATGGGGGATTGAAAAAATATCCCCACCACCACATCTGTAGGTCATTTGTGCAATTCTATGGTATGCTTCTGGTCCTTATATAGGCAAAATAGAGGTTGTTATTACCCATGGCTTCAGGTATACAGGGGAATATTAGAATGCATCACATGAATACCAAAGTTGCACTGTGTGTGTGTGTGTGTGTATGTATATGTATGTATGTGTGTCTATATATATATATATATATAGAGAGAGAGAGAGAGAGAGAGAGAGAGAGAGAGAGAGATCTAAAACCAAGTTAGGCTACTTCCAAGGGTCTATGACCATTTTCTATTATTCCCAGGGCTACCATGGGCAATATGACTCTTTCCAGCAAAGTTAGTGGCTTTTCAAAATCTGCTTGGGACTGTTGCTATCTGAGAATTTTCTTCAAACTTGACATTCTTGATGCTCAACATCTATTTATAAATCCAACCTCCTAGCCTGCTTAATTTCCTATGTGTATATTGATATTTCTGAATTTAAAAAAATACTGAAATTTGTTGAACTGCTTTTCTTTTCTGTGCCATATGAATCTATCATTATTCCCATTATTAGTCTAGTATGAAATGTTCTGGTGTACTAGTAAAGCTCAGGGACACATTTATTGCTAATGTGCTATAGGATTTTATGCTTTAATATATTGTGTCTTAATTGGCTTGACTCATTGTACGCATTATGTTTATTTAGTTTAACCTCGGTTTTAGTTGTATATAAGTTATGTTGCGTTTCTTTTATTTCATGTTTTGCCTTGATTGTTGTTTATTTGTTTTGGGGCATTGAATGTTTGCCATTTTTGTTGTTTTTGTAAACCACCCTAAGTCCCTTCGGGGAGAGAGAAAGTCTTATTATTATTATTACTTTGTTAATTGAAAAACACTTATAAGCTTTTTAGATGTAAACCAGAAGTGTATGGAAGTTAATTGCTAATTTTGAAAACTCATTAGAGCCACTGCACCTTGCTTTAGATAAGGATGGATGATCCTGGAGGGTATAAGCAGCAGAAGTTGTTAAACTGTTGATGTCCAAAAATGGCAAGTGTCCCATGAGCGACTTCTTATGGATATCAACTTGCTAAAGTTGTGTACACCTGTGCTTGCATGTTACATGAATGCTTCAATTAACAAAGTAAGCATACTCCTGGATATTACAATTTTAACAGAAAACTTTGTTCCAAAGAGGGAAATAACATGGAAAGAATGGAGATAGGCTCCTCTACCAAAACAAACAAAACACAGCATTCCTTTTTCACAATCCTCCCAGTCCCGATGTTCTAAAAACCTCCCGCTACAAAGAAGATGAGGAGGAAAAAGTAGGCTGGGGGAGTATAACAAGGTTTCTAAACAGGGTTATGCCTGCCCACATAAAGGAAATGAATTGATCTTTGATCTTTGATTTGCAAGTTTATATTCAACAAGGGGGAGGAGGTAGGTTCCTTATCAGAGTATATGGGTACAATTCCAAAGTAGATATCTCAGGGACTGCCCATTTCAGGCACTATGTTAGGTTGCTTTTTAAAACAGGAAGATCATTTTCCATTTTAAACCCTATCAAGGCATTAGGGGCAGCCACTGTTATAAGTTTTCTCACCTATGGGTATTAATCCTTGAGTATATTGAACTTTGAGTTTGACAGATTATATGTAGATGAACATTAGATGTTTAGGGGAGGACCATCTGTAGTGAGTTAATTTATTTTATTTTGACAATAAAACCAAGACATTTTATGTCCTTATCAACAGCCACTAAATACACAGGCTTGTCTTTCAGTATGTTTAACAAGATAGATTTTCATCTTTTGTAAACCAACTGAATAACACATGAAACATATCTGGATCCTCAGAAACACAATGTAATATTACATTTTTTGCAGAATTATTTTTCCCTATTTTTATCATTGCAGCTACAGTACTATGAAATCCATGTTTGTGGCCATTCTCTGGCCTTGGATCAAACCCCACTGTTTCAGCTTGGCAGTTTGTTGTAAGTGCACCTACCAGTGAAAAAAATAGTTTACAACCCATCAGTGCACCACCAATTATTGGTACCCTACAATAACACCTGGAATTAACATCTCCAAGTGTTATGCTGAACATATTGGAAATATCTAAACATCCTTACTGGCTAACTTCAGTATGGGGTTATTCCATGCTAGTTCAAATTATAGTATCATTACAGAGAAATGCTTACAATATAGTAGCTGACTAATGAGTACACAATGGGTCTCAATCATGTAACACCATTATTGTCCCACCCAGTGCGAGCTAAGCAATTCAAACTGGTTGTAACCCATCACAGTTCTAATCAATTAGCAGTGATGCTATTAGAAGTAAAGAATAAACAGAAAAGGAGAGCAGCTCTCTTTTACTGAATGAACTAATGTACTAATGAACTAATGAACTCTCTTTTACTGAATGAACTAGGTGTAGCTATGTCTATAATACTGATAAGTGTTTGGTGAAAATACTTATAAGTATTACACCTGCGTCCTTACCTGTCTCTGTCTTTCCAGCCTCTCTTGTTTTTCCTTTTGCCGTTCTGTATCCCATTTCTTGTTCTTAACCAATATGGTGGCCTTACTCTTGGGAACCTTTTTATTAAGCACTTTAGCCATGGCATCGGCCCAGCCACCATTTTCAGTGTCTTTGGAATCTGCTGCCTTTTGAATTTCAGAGTCCAGAATTGCAGGCTCATCTTCATCATCACCTTCCAGATCTTCCCCTCCAGATGAAAAGCTGTCCTCTGGAAGATCTGAGCCTGAGTCTGAGAGAAAGACAGTAAGTTTAGTTCCTTTCTATTTGCACTGCACCCTTAGCCAAAGAAAACCTATCTTAACTTAATGGGAGAGTTACTACAATTCAATGGCTTGTCATCCTTTCTTCCATAAGAAATGTCATGTGCAGCAAAGTATCAACTGAAGGAAGTTATCAAAATACATTTTGTGCAAGAATTTTTTCCCAGAACAAAGGGTGTAAAAGATATGATGAGAAATTAACAAAGTTCACTAATTTATTATAGAAAGTTTACAGTAAATGCATCTCATCTTACAAAGAAATATTTCTGGCTTTAAGAGGAAATTAAAACTGCAACACTGACATCTAGTGTTGAAATCACAAAAGTAAGGTGGATTGAAAAGAGCAGGCTGACACAGTCTAACACAGGCATGGGCAAATTTCAGCCCTCCGGGTCTTTTGGACTTCAACTCCCACAATTCCAAACATTGAATTGTGGGGGTTGAAGTGCAAACACCTGGAGGACTGAAGTTTGCCCATGCCTGGTCTAACATGTAAATGCCAATTGCACCATTGATCCAATTTGACCAAAGTTCCAGTGGGGTTTTTTATTTTTAATCATTGAAGACATTCACTCCTGTGCTGGTACTTCTCACAGGCATAAAAATATCAGTTATTATACACATGGGATTCATGAGATTTAGCTATGTGTATTTAGCTGTGTTAAGGACAGACAAGGAAATAACACTGCTCCAACCTTTTGAAAGACAAATACATTTTCTAACGAACCACAGTTTCTGAAAGCCACACAATTAGGTAAAACAACCAAGGTAACTATCAATGGATGAATTTCAATTTTCAATGGAATGAAGAAAAATGGTAACAGTATGAAGTTTAATAAGGCCACTAATGTTTTCCAAAAGCAATTTTGTGTGAAATCCATCCCTCGCTCCCAGTGTATACATCTTTAATAGTTTATAATTTGGGATTTTTCTTCCCCAAAATGTATGTACATCACTAGGAAGATGAAAGATTCTAACAAGCTGAGCATCCAGGTTACCTAAAGGATCGCCTTCTCCCATACAATCAACCTCACATACTTCGATCTTCTGGAGGGCGTCTGCTCCAACCAGCCAGAACTGGACTGGCAACCACCACAGAGTTTTCCAGTGGCCACCCCAAGACTGTGGAACAACCTGCTGGCAGAGCTCGGACAACTAAATCAGCTGTTGGAATTTAAGACACAAGTGAAGACCTTTCTCTTCCAGCAGGCCTACACAGACAGTCTTTAAACATAAATATGAATTTTAATGCCTATCTTTTGTTTAACCACTGTTTGTTTTAATATGTATTTCATAGAGATACATTTTGATATGTAACTTTTGTGGAGGTACATTTTAGTGAGTGTATTTCTAGTGTTTTTGCGGTGTTTAATTGTTTTGTAATTTAAGGTCGGGGCGGTGGGCTTCTCACAGTTCCACCACCCTCACAAGCATGGCTAGCGGGAACAAGAGAAAGCGCCCTCTTGTTGGTGGCCCCCCAGCTCTGGAATGCTCTCCCGAAAGAAATCAGACAGGCATCCTCTCTAGCTAACGCTTGGAAAGAATTAAAAACCTGGATGTGGAAGCTGGCTTTCGAAAACGGTTGACTACTTTTGATATGATGGTGGTCTTTTAGCCTTGCCCATACCTATTGGTTTTAACTGGTCTTATCTCTGAAATATGTTTTAAACCCAGTACAATTTTTAACATGTATGTTTTTTAATTTTTTTGTTTATGATTATGGGTTATGTATCGTCTTTTTGGCTTTTGCTTATGTATGTATTGCAATCTGATTTTATTGTGAGCCTCCCGAGTCCTTGTGGAAAGAGGGCGGGATATAAATAAAGTTTATATCCCAGCTCAGAAGCTCCAACTCGGAAGGTCCAGCTGGTTCAGACAGCTCAGAAGCTCCAACTAGTACAAAGATTGGCAGCCAGGCTGCTGACAGGGATGGGCTATAGAGATTATATGACCTCCCCTTCCTGAAGCAGCTTCACTGGTTGCCTGTTTGTTTCCGGGCCCAATTCAAAGTGCAGTTTATTACCTATAAAGCTCTACATGGTTCAGGTCCTGCCTATTTACATGGCCACATCTTCCTGTATAAACCTATTTGAGCCTTACGATTGGCTGGGGAGTCAGTGAGAGGGTCTTCTCCTCGACTCTAGAATGCCCTCCCCAGTGAGATTAGACAGGCATCCACCCTAATGGCATTCAGGGGAGACTTGAAGACCTGGTTATTTAAACAGGCTTTTGACAGCGATTAGTCAACCTCTAGGGTACGGATTTATGGTAACAAGCACCTTTTAGTTTATAGGAACAACTGTGTTTTATCTCAATGCTCATAATTTTTATTGTTAATTTTCAATTTGATTGTGTTGCATTGTATGTTTTATATTGATTGATGTGTTATTAATATGTATCCCATGTTCTGCATTTTATTGTATTGTACTTATTGTATTATTCATGCTGTAAGCTATCCTGAGTCCCCTGGGGAGAGGGGGCGGGATATAAATAAATGTTGTTGTTATTATTATGCAACCCAACTTGAGCCACGAGAAGAGGCAGGTAAGAAATAAAATGATGATGATTATCCTTTACTTGAAGTGCTTGGAACAAGATGTGTTTTGGATGTCATTTTTAAAAAAAATGAACACCGCACCTGCATATATCATAGAATCGGAGAGTTGGAAGAGAACTTGTGGGTGATCCAGTCCAACCCCCTGCCAAGAAGCAGAAAAATCGAGCACCCCCAACAGATGGCCACTCAGCCTCTGCTTAAAAGCCTCCAAAGAAGGAGCCTCCACCACACTCCGGGGCAGAGAGTTCCACTGCTGAACAGCTCTCACAGTCAGGATATTCTTCCTCATGTTCAGGTGGAATCTCCTTTCCTGTAGTTTGAAGCCATTGTTCTGCATCCTAGTTTCCAGGACGGCAGTAAACAAACTTGCTCCCTCCTTCCTATGACTTCCCCTTACATGGCCATCATTCCTCCTCTCAGCCTTCTCTTCTGCAGGCTAAACATGCCCAGCTCTTTGAGCCATTCCTCACAGGGCTTGTTCTCCAGACCCTGGATCATCTTGGTTGCCGCCCTCTGGACATATTCCAGCTTGTCAACATCTCCCTTAAATTGTGGTGCCCAGAATTGGACACAGTATTCTACATGTGGTCTGGCTAAGGCAGAATAAAGGGGTAGCATGATTTTCTTGGATCTAGACACTATACTATTGATGCAGACCAAAACCCCATTGGCTTTTTCTCTCGCTGCACGACATTGTTGACTCATGTTTAATTTGTTGTCCACGAGGACTCTAAGATCTTTTCCACACATACTTCTCTCAAGCCACGCGTCCCCCATTCTGTAGCCTTACATTTCATTTTTTTTTCTGCCTAAGTGGAGTATCTTGCATTTCTCCCTGTTGAATTTCATTTTGTTAGTTTTGGCCCATCTCTCTAATCCAGTGGTTCTCAAAACACTGGGTCCCCAGATGTTTTGGCCTTCAACTCCCAGAAATCCTAACAGATGGCAATCTGGCTAGGATTTCTGGGGGTTGTAGGCCAAAACACCTGGGGACCCACAGGTTGAGAAGCGCTGCTCTAATCTGTCAAGATCGTTTTGAATTCTGCTCCTGTCCTTTGGGGTATTTGCTATCCCTCCCAATTTGTTGTCATCTGAAAACTTGATGATATGTACACAATGAGACATCTTGGAAGATAGGACCCAAGCCTACATACTATGAAATTTTCTTATGGTTCACATACAGTTTATATAATAATACAGTTTATATACATAGCCTGAAGGTAATTTTATACTTAATTATTTTATTAATATTGTGCATGAAATGAAAGTTTGTATAGTTTGTCAAACTGCAGGAATTCTACAGTGTAGAGGAGGCCTGGGCCAACTTGGGCCCTCCCTCCAGGTGTTTTGGACTTCAACTCCCACAATTCCTAACAGCCTACCGGCTGTTAGGAATTGTGGGAGTTGAAGTCCAAAACACCTGGAGGGAGGGCCCAAGTTGGCCCAGGCCTCCTCTACACCGTACAGCTTTCAGGACTCTATAGCCCTGAATCATGGCAGATGAAGGGGCGTCAGCGTGGAATAATTCCACCGTGTGGATGCCTTTGAGTGAAAAGCGAAGCCACGCTCCCCCACAGACTCTTTACATACCGAAATCGAGGGCTCCGTCGGCTGTCAACGCGGCTTCCATGGCCACCCTCTTTCCTTCCCTCCTTCCTTCTCTCAGATCCCACATGGGCCGCTGACCCTTACTGGAGGATCTCGCGAGAAACCTCCTCCTCCACCACCACCACCACCCGGAGTTCTCGCGCGAGGCTCTCGTCTCGCGAGACTTCTATAGACTGAGTCAAGGAGTTCTTGCTAGATTTGTTCTGATTGGCTCTGAGGCTGGGAAGTTGAGAAAAGTTTGTTTTATTCTTATTGGTTTGTGATGATATTGGTTTTCCTTTGTGTCAGTACTAACAATCTATTTTTTTACAGTTGTATGTTTGACATAAATGATTTTTTTTGTTTTGCATTCCAGCACACAGAATTCTCCCAATTCTCTCTTGCTATATAACACTAGTATATTATACTGTAATTAGCTATTTTATTATAGCAACTTATAATTCTTTCATATTACTTAATGACATAAATGATTTGTAAATGTGTATTTTGTAGACTGCATTTACATTGTGAAGAGAGGGGGCCCAGGAAGACAGTTTCATCTTGTCTCATGTGTTATGCTAATATATATATATATATATATATATATATATATATATATATATATGCAGTCATGCCGGCCACATGACCTTGGAGGTGTCTACGACAACGCTGGCTCTTCGGCTTAGAAATGGAGATGAGCACCACACCCCAGAGTCAGACATGACTGGACTTAATGTCAGGGGACTACCTTTACCTTTATATATATAAAAATGCTCTGTGCATAATGAGTACCTTAAAAACAAAAGAACCAATGAACGAAATCACACCAAATTTGGCAACAAAACGTCTCACAACACAAGGAGTGACCATCACTCCAAAAATTATGGTTTTGTCATTTGGGAGTTGTAGTTGCTGAGATTTATAGTTCACCTACAGTCAAAGAGCATTCTGAGCTCCATCAACGATGGAATTGAACCAAACATGGCGCACAGAACTCCCATGACCAACAGAACACACTGGAAGGGTTTGGTGGGCATTGACCTTGAGTTTGGGAGTTGTAGTTCACCTACATCCAGAGAGCACTGTGGACTCAAACAATGATGGATCTGGACCAAACTTGGCACAAGCACTCAATACGCCCAAATATGAACACAGATGGAGTTTGGGGGAAATAGACCTTGACATTTGGGAGTTGTAGTCACTGGGATTCACAGTTCACTTACAATCAAATAGCAGTCTGAACCTCACAAACGACAGAATCGGGGCAGACTTCCCACACAGAACCTCCACGACCAACAGAAAATACTTAAGGCCATGCAGTCCAACTCTCTTCACCAGGGCAAGAAAACATAATCAAAGTCCTGACAAAGAGCCATCTAGCCATAGATACATACAGATAGATAGATAGATAGATAGATAGATAGATATGATTCACACACAGAGAGATATAATATCATAGATTTGAAAGGGACTCTTACAGAAGGACAATGATATGTTGCATGTTCCAGGGTGGGCAAACACTCTCCACATCAACACTGACAAAGAAACAGCAAGAAATACTGTTTACCTACAAGCATAAAGAAATTACATATATTAGAAGCCAACACCTTCTCATTACTTTATTTTCCAGATCAATAAACTGGGCCACAGCAACGTGTGGCAGGGGACAGCTAGTATTATATATATATATACACACACACACACATACACACACACATACACACACACTATAATGTAATACAATATAATACTAATACTACTACTAATATGTGATTCCGGCCATGAAAGCCTTTGACAGCACATGGTTATCATTCATCTTTATGACTGGATAGCAATTGGCGTATGTTCTGTATCACAAAAACTAGAGTGAATAGGGGGAAACTGGTTCCATTTTAGGAATCAGCAGATCAAATATATACCCAGAAACAAGTCTATTGTGGCGGTGTTGAGGAGTTATCCATCTCTCCGTTGCCATGGACCGACCACCACCTGGTCAGCTTTAGACTCACTGCACCCCCTAACCTCCGCAGAGGTGGAGGACCCATTAAATTGGTCCGCCCCAGGAGGCTTATGGATCCGGATGGATTCCTGATGGCTCTTGGGGAATTTCCCGCCACCTCGGTTGGTGATCCTGTTGATGCTCTGGTCGCTCTCTGGAATGGGGAGATGACTAGGGCAATTGACACGATCGCTCCAGAACGTCCCCTCTCAAGTAGCCGAGCTAAACCAGCTCCTTGGTTCACCGAGGAGCTGGCAGCGTTGAAGCGAAAGAAGAGGGAACTAGAGAGCGTGTGGCGTTCGGATCCGAGCGAGCCAAATCGAACACGGTTTGTGTCCTTTTTAAGGGCATATGCCGCGGCAATAAAAGCCGCAAAGAAGACCTTCTTTGCGGCCACTATTGCGTCTGCAAAGAACCGTCCGGCTGAACTGTTCCGAGTTGTCAGAGGCCTATTAAAACCCACCACTCAGGATGGGTGCCCTGATGACTCGGCAGCTCGCTGCGAAGCTTTTGCTCGGTTCTTCGCAGACAAAGTCGCTTTGATCCGCTCTGGACTGGATACCATATTAACGGCAGTATCTGAGGATGTAACACGAGCATCTGCTTGTCCGGTTTTGATGGATTCATTTCAATTGGTTCAATCCGAGGATGTGGACAAGGTGCTTGGAGGAATGAGAGCTACCACATGCATCCTAGACCCCTGCCCATCCTGGCTTCTAAAGGAGGCCAGAGGGGGATTGGCCGAGTGGGTGAAGGTGGTGGTTAATGCCTCCCTTCGGGAAGGCAAAATTCCAGCCAGCTTAAAGCAAGCTGTGATAAAACCGCTGTTGAAGAAACCATCACTGGACCCCACTCAATTCGTCAACTATCGGCCTGTTTCCAATCTCCCCTTTTTGGGCAAAGTCATGGAACGTGTGGTGGCCTCACAACTCCAGGCATTCTTGGTAGACACGGATTATCTGGATCCGGCACAGTCTGGCTTTAGGCCGGGGCATGGTACCGAGACAGCCTTGGTCGCCTTAGTGGATGATCTGCGTCGGGAGCTCGACAGGGGGAGTGTGTCCCTGTTGGTGCTGCTCGACCTCTCAGCGGCCTTCGATACCGTCGACCACGGTATCCTTCTGGGACGCCTCGCGGGGATGGGTCTTGGAGGTACTGCTCTGCAGTGGCTCCGCTCATTCCTCGAGGGTCGGTCTCAGAAGGTGTTACTGGGAGACTCCTGTTCAACCCCACAACCTTTGTCTTGTGGGGTTCCTCAGGGGTCAATACTGTCTCCCATGTTGTTTAACATCTACATGAAGCCGCTGGGCGAGATCATCCGGAGTTTCGGAGTGCGATGTCATCTGTACGCAGATGATGTTCAACTCTGTCACTCCTTTCCACCTGCTACTAAGGAGGCTGTCGAGGTCCTGAACCGGTGCTTGGCCGCTGTGACGGTCTGGATGGGGGCGAACAAATTGAAATTGAATCCAGACAAGACAGAGGTACTCCTGGTTAGTCGCAAGGCCGAACAGGGTATAGGGTTACAGCCTGTGTTAGATGGGGTCGCACTCCCCCTGAAGACGCAGGTTCGCAGTTTGGGTGTGATCCTGGACTCATCGCTGAGCCTGGAACCCCAGGTTTCGGCGGTGACCAGGGGAGCCTTCGCACAGTTAAAACTTGTGCGCCAACTGCGACCGTACCTTGGGAAGTCTGACTTAGCCACGGTAGTCCACGCTCTGGTTACATCCCGCCTTGATTACTGCAACGCTCTCTACGTGGGGTTGCCTTTGAAGACAGTCCGGAAGCTCTAGTTAGTCCAACGGGCGGCAGCCATGATACTAACAGGAGCGGGGCGCAGGGAGCACACAACTCCTCTGCTGCACCAGCTCCACTGGCTGCCGATCTGCTACCGGGCTCAATTCAAAGTGCTGGCGTTGGCCTTTAAAGCCCTAAACGGTTCTGGCCCAACTTATCTATCCGAACGTATCTCAGCCTATCAGCCCACCAGGACCCTAAGATCTTCTGGAGAGTCCCTGCTCTCTATCCCTCCGGCTTCAGAAGTGCGGCTGGCGGGAACGAGAGACAGGGCCTTCTCTGTGGTGGCCCCTCGGCTTTGGAACACCCTCCCTATAGAAGTACGATCAGCCTCTTCGCTGATGGTGTTTCGGAAGAGATTGAAAACATGGTTGTTCAAACAAGCATTCGGCTAATCTGTTGCAATCGAATTTTGGTGACTAAGGATAGGTAATCATGGACAATGAATTCTGGATTATGATTTTAGTTCGAGATGCATGGGATTATTATTGGTGGCCCAATAATTTGTATTGTATGTGTGTATGTTTTAAATTGGAGACTGTTTTTAATTGTTGTAAACCGCAATGAGTCGCCGACCTAGGCTGAGATATTAGCGGTATACAAGTGAATAAAATAATAAATAAAATAGAAATTAGAATCATAGAATCAAAGAGTTGGAAGAGACCTCATGGGCCATCCAGTCCAACCCCCTGCCAAGAAGCAGGAATATTGCATTCAAATCACCCCTGACAGATGGCCATCCAGCCTCTGTTTAAAAGCCTCCAAAGAAGGAGCCTCCACCACACTACAGAGCAGAGAGTTCCACTGCTGAACAGCTCTCACAGTCAGGAAGTTCTTCCTAATGTTCAGATGGAATCTCCTCTCTTGTAGTTTGAAGCCATTGTTCCGCGTCCTAGTCTCCAAGGAAGCAGAAAACAAGCTTGCTCCCTCCTCCCTGTAGCTTCCTCTCACATATTTATACATGGTTATCACCAAATGTGTGTTGACCAGTGTTATCTACCACAAAATAGCAGTCATAATTCCAAGTGCAGTGTTATTCCTTTATACATGGATTTGGTATCCATGGTTTTACTTATTCATAGTGTAAAATAATTATTCCCTTGGAAGTGAGCTTACCTAGGCCCTCCAATTTTATTTAATGGTATGCTTCCAGACCAAGTATAATCATTCTTTCATATCTACCGCTTCAACTATCCTTGTTACAGAACATGGCTTGAAAGTTTCCAAAAACGAAATGGCAAAAAGCAAATCCTGATTTTGCCATTTTATGTAA